TGGAAGAGTCACTTTTCCAGGCCTAATTCTGTGTAGTGAAGTGGGTTTTAAAATACTTTACTAGATAAATGTCCCAACTCAACAGGAGATAGTTGCCATTTCGTTTCATTGCCTGTGTGGACACCAATACTCTGTTGTGCCCAGGTTTGTTGTTTAAAAGTCCTCATTGCCATAGCTAAAGAATGGACTGACTCTACCTGAGTAACTGATTGCAGACCCCAGTCCAGCTGCACACACATCCCAGGCCTCTGCTCTGTCTGTCCTGGAGGGAGCTGACTCTTGAGGAAAAGCCAAAGTGGTTCTGATGGGCCTGCAATCTCCTGGAATTTTCAAAGGAAGTGACTCTGTTGGAGAGGCTGCCCTGGTGACTGCAGCTGGAAGGTCCAAGGCTTCTGGAGAGATGGACATCGGGGTATTTTCAGAAGCGTAGTTACAGCCTGAAAGGTTCTTAGCTTTGTGCACACTGTCACAGTATTTCAAAGCAGGGGGCTGGTAGGTCTGGTAGGACACTTTGGTGGTGGTGGTGATCACGGTCTGTAGGGCTGGAGCACCTGGTGCGGGAGTCGTGAGGTACCTGCAGGGAAGCTCTGGGTTATAGTAAGGGCGAGTGGCCATGGTCTGGAACTGTCCAGGGTCAGTCCTCTCCCCAAGGCCAGGTTTTCCAAGAGCTGGTTCCCAGCCATGTTGTTTACAGGTGAGATCACAGCTTCTCTCGAAGCTGCAGTATGAGTTGACATTATATTGTAGTGCATTCAGACGAACCCAGTCTGTGTCATTAGGGTTATTGCTGGAATCTTTATAAAGAGGAGGCATTGGGCTCAAATTTGTATAACCAGGACCTGCCAATTCATAGCTGCAAGGTGGCCTAGGCAAATAGATCCTTGAGTTTGGATATTTCTGAAAGGGTGGCATTATGTCCCCTTGAAAGGTGGCGAGGTCACAGGTAGCCTTGTAAGCATCCGAATTTGGGAAAGAAAAGCAAGGCTGCCCTGGAATAGGGAAGCCAGTGTCAGCAATTACATCAAACTCTTCTGAGTTTTCCAGAGGAGGTATGTTGTTGAAATGTCCACTGTTGTCGTGATCCTCTCCTGCCTAAAAAATAATATATATTTTTATTTGTAAATAAAATGCACATTGCATGGACACCCTCCCCTGTAACAGTAGCCAACCAACAGAATAAAAACAAACTTCCAACTGGTGGGTTCTGTGTTGTGAGCTCTCCGCTGTTCCGGTATATGATTTGGGTACATGGTCCAGGGGTTGCATAGGTTGAGCTTGCTCAGGCATGATACCACACTGCTGAATGAGGTGGGTCCATAGTAGCCGGGCGGGGTGGGTTTCAGTGGCAG